CCAGTCAAGGCAGACCCCGAATTTCCCTCCTGTGGGCAGGGAGGGAAAAGGCAGGAATGTTAACGGGAAGCAAGGTCTCCTGGCTGATGGATTTGCCTTGCTGAGCCAGCCCTGGCACCAGGGTCCAGACGTGGGGGTACGCTGGTGGGGCAGGGAGATATTTGTGGGTGCTGAAGAACCACAGAAAGCACAAACCAGATGAAAACCGAAGAACCAAAGATCTGCCCTTCGAGAAACCGAGGCATGGCCTTCAGAGGGGGTTCATGCAGGCCACAGGAACCCTGTCCTGCCCCCATGCCCGTGCCAGGCTGCCGGAGCGGAGGATGAGCTCCCACGGTGCTGGGACATCTCCCCGCTCTGGGCACACACCCCGAGAGCAGAGGCAGCTCTTTGCAGCGCTCAGCCGACGGTGTGACCAGCCTGGGTTTGGGGCCCAAATCTGCCAGCGCCCGGCTCTGAGGAGGGGCAACTCCCATGCCTGGGCTGCACCCTCCCCCCTCCCGACACCAGTCAACCCTCCCAGATTCTTGTCCCTACTCCACGTCTAGACCCTCCAAAACTGGGCTCCAGGACATCCCAGGGACCCCAGTGAGGGCATCTCCTGGCCAAGCTGGGTCCAGAGGAGCGGGAATGCTGCAGCTGGGTGTCAGCACAGCTCCAGAGGCTGGCTGCCTGCCCGGGATGGCAGTGGCAGGTTCAAACCCAGTGTCCATTGTGCTGATGAGGGAGAGTGGGAGGCAATGGGGCTGGGAAGGGACGTCCCACACGGTATCTGGCCTCATCGTGGGGTCAAGGCAACCACGATCACCGGGGATGTGACTTAGCACATGAGTCGGCCGCCCCATTCCCACGGCTGCTGCTGGAAAAGCTGAGGTGGGATGGGACCGGGGTGGGAAGGGGCCGGGGTAAGAAGGGGCTAAAATAGGACGGGGCCAAGGTGGGATGGAGACTGGTGGAGGAGGGGGACGGAGCCATGGGGAAGGGGACTGCCCAGGCTGGGGATTCAGGAGGAACCTGGTCCTGCCCGGGCAGTGGCTGTGTGATGCCTCTGGCTGTATTTGAGTGTGCTCATCCCAGGGGCAGGGGACCGGGGAGGGGAGGGCTCTGGGGGGATGGAGCTGAGCCCACTGCATTCCCAGTGCCGCTGTTATTTTAACAATACCCTGCCGGCCTGCATGCCGGGGCTAATTTTAACCCTGGAGCCACGCCAAGCCAGCCATAACTTGCCTTGCTGTGATTTATCCCAGCCGTTTCCCTTCGAAAACAAGGCCCCCGTGCCAGCCCTGCTGTATCCCCAGGCAGCAGCATGCTGCCCTGGGTCCTGCCCCACTGGGCAGGGCAAAGAGGGGAAGGATTGTCTGGAGAGTGGGAAGGCAGCAGGTTGCACCTTCCCCGGGGCTCAGCACCTTGCACAGGGTTTTTCGGAAGCTGGCTGGGAGCAGAGGGATGCTCGGACACGGAGCCTTCCCTGGGACCCTGGAGTGGCTCTGTTTTCCACATACATCTCTGGGAAGGAGGTGGGTGTTTTTTCTACTGACAACTTTTATTGAAAAGGCTGTGGGGCTTTATTTTTCTTCCTTTTTTTTCCTTTTATCCCTTTTCCCAGTCAACAGCCACTCTCGAGAGGTTTCCCTTCGCCCCTGTGCGTCTATTTAAAAACTGATTGGTAAAAATGCTGCAGAAACATTTGCAAAAAATGGAAAATATTGAAAATATCTTGTGACAAAAAAAACCCAACATTCTCTTCCAAATAAAGATCTTTTTCTTCTCCTTTTTTCCATCAGAAAAGCTTTTAGTGTGCAAAATGTCAACCGCTTTGATTTCTTCTTCCAAAAGGGTGGGACGCACCCACCTCTCTGCTCCAGGAGGATGGGTTTTCAGAATGCTAAAAATCACCGGGCAGAGGTACTGGCACCGGCACCTCCATGTACGTCTCTCTCATGACGCCCCCCGCGTCCCCGCCAGACCCGCGGCAGGTTAAGATGTGGCACGGCCAGCCCACGGGTGAGACCTTCCCTGCAGGACCACCCGCCCGGGAAGGGAGAAGAAAGCCCGAAGGTATTTGGTCACTAGCGTCATGAGTTCCCATTCGTTCTCAGCCGGTCACAAACAGGAGGTGTGCAAGGCTGCGGAGAGAGAAGAGCGCGATCTCGGCGGGGCAGCAAGCGGAGGCGTTAGAGGTTGTCATACATGCGCAGCGTCTTCTCCAGCTGCTGGCTGACGCGCTGGTAGAAGATGATCTGCTGCTTTAGGTAAGACTGCATCATCCTCTTGAAGTCGGCCACGCGCCGCTCATGGAAGTGGTTCATCTCAGCTTGCAGGGCAAAGCCCACCACGCGGCAGCGCTTCCGGATCCCATCGGCCTCCTCCTGGTCCATCCTGCCCTCGTCGCTCATCCGCTGGCTCTCCTTCACCTTTGCGAAGGCGCCTGGCGAGGCAGGGGCAAGGGTGAGGGGCTGATGGACCCACGCCACCCTCCATCCCCCTCACCCAGCGCAGGCATCCCTGGCCAGCACTGGACGGGTCCCATCTGTGCTGAGGGCCTGGCCCCACAGGCAGAGGTGCTGAGCTGCCCCACATGAATAAGGGAGGGATTTCCACTCTCCCAGGCTGCCACGGTCACGTGCCCATCCATCCTCATCCCTCTCCTCGGAGCCTTTTCCCTCTGGGCTCTCACCTTCCCATCTCCTTTTCTGCCGCATACCTGGGCAGTCAGACTCATATTTAGCAGGAGGTTTGAGGGGCTGGGCTGCTGGAGGGGTGCAACTCAAGGCTTGGGGTGCAAAGCTAAGACGGTGCAGTGTTATCACAGCCAAGCCTGCTCTGCAAATGTTCAATGTGACCCCACGGATGGGGATCAGAAGCAGACCTGGGAGACTCCAGCCTGGGAGGTGGGGAATCGGGGAGCAGGAAGGACAAGAGAAAATGACTTCAAGTTGCATCAGGGGAGGTTTAGATCGGATACTAGGAAAAATTCCTTCCCCAAAAGGGTTGTCCAGGCCTGTCCCAGGCTGCCCAGGACAGTGGTGGAGTCCCCATCCCTGGAGGGGTTTCAAAGACATGGAGATGTGGTGCTGAGGGACATGGGTCAGTGGGGCCCTAACAGCGCTGGGGTAAAGGTCAGACTCGATGATCTGAAAGGTCTTTTCCAACCTAAACAATTCTGTGATTCTAAGGGCTGGAGCTTGTCTGGGAAATCATCTCCCTCTCCCAGAGGCAGCTGATGCTCTGCCACCAGTTTTTCCCCCTCCTTCCATTTATTTTTACAGCTCGGTTTCGAAAGAATCCTGCCTGGCTCCCGCCCTGCATTCCTCCCCCCTCATTAGCACAGCGGCTGTTTGCCTCCAGACAGGATCTGGCCCGCAGCTCACCGGGCTCTTTTCCCTTCTCCCTGCCCTTTGCCACGAGTGCCGGACCCTGGGTTACCCTGCTCCCACCGCGCCATCCCCGTTCCCAGAGGAGGAGGAAGAAGCAAAAGCTGGAGGCCAAATCCTGCCTTCCGCTCTGCCCACGCGGCCTCGCTTCCGGACGGAATCCAGCTCCGCTTCGCACCCCGCCGTAAACAATGCGGGGAGGGAAAGGCAAGGAAGGGGCTGGATCACCTCTTTCCCATCCCACCCTACCCTCCCAGCCTCCCGCAGGGATGCGGAGTGACGCACCGACGCCCCTGGGTGCTCGGACATGGACGGCCCTGGCTTCACCCCGGCAAAAAACCCCCTGTCCCCCAAAATCCGGGAATGGTGGTGTGGGAGGCCAGGCCAGGAGGAGCTTGGGGACTTCGGCCCGGCTCCGCTCTCTCCCATCCCACTCCTGGGTGCGGAGGAACACGGAGCCCGGGAAGGGCAGAGCACACACCTCTCGCCCCATCTCCTCCTTCCTGACCCCCCAAATACCCGGAAGACCAGGACAAAGGGATAAGGATAAAGCCTCTTGGGCTTGGAGGGGAGGAATGTCCTCTTGAAGAGTTTGACCCTGGTTGTGCCCAGAAGGTCCAGCACGTGTCCCCGCCCCGGGTCAGGGGAGTGCAGTGAGCCTCGTGGGAGAAGGGACACGTCCACGTCCTGCCTGCACACCACTGTGGCCCCACTGACTGACCCAAGGGCAGGTCCCAGCCCAGTCCCAGCCCTGTGGCAGCAAGCTCAAGCATCCCCACTGGCCACCTGACTGCTGCCTCAGCCGAGGAGGGAGGGTGAGGAGGGACAAGAGGTGATGAGCAGGGATGTGACGCAACCCCTCACTCACAAAGCGCTGTCCAGGCCATCCTGGGGCCAACAGCAATAGTGCTGGCACCTGCTCACAGCTCGAGGGGAGCAACCCTGCTCTGACTGCCCCCCGCCAGAGGTTTGGGCAGCAGTTATGGAGTCCACAGCATCACCTGAGGTAAAACCATCTGATCCTGGACCCAACAGCCCCAGCAGCCACTCCTGGGCTAGGGTGACCAGGGCACTGTGCCAGCAGGGACCACGCTGCCTCCCTGGGAGCCACAGGCAATGGTCCCCATCCTCATCCTCATCCCCATCCACATCCCCATCACCATCACTGCAGAACACAGGATTTCCTCACTGCACCCCCATCCTACTCCCCATGCTGCTGCCACCCATGTAGGGCTATCACCAGAGGAGAAGAAGCCACCCTTACCTTTCTGGAGGTGGATGATGTCTGGGAAGTTGGAGAGGAGCCCTTGGTACAAGGACAGAGTGTCCAGCATGAGGAAGAGGTCATTCTTGGGCTGCTCAGCAAACATCTCCCCCACAGTCTCGTACGTCTTGCCCGTATGGGAGATGGCATTGTTGAGGGCATCCAAGCTGTACGGGGGGTCCATGTGGAAGGAGTGACTGATGGCTTGGAAGGCATTGCCCAGCTTCTGGAACTCCTTCCGGAAGCCACCCACGTGCTTGCGCACCAGCTCTGAGGCCACGTTGGTCAGCTGCAGGACGCTGTCGTCCATCTTCTTGCTGAAGGCCTTGAAGGCGTCCACTCGATCTTCCACGTCCTGCAGGTCCTGGTGCTCCGTGGGGATCTGGATGGTGAGGAGGAAGCTGGCGCCAACCATCTCGTCCTTCTCCGCCCGGCGTTTGCCCAGCTTCCACTGCTTCTCGTCACGGCAGCAGAGGAAGTGCTGGAAGCCCTCGTACTGGGAGAGGACGGGGTGGCTGGTCATATGGTCCATCCAGAGGATGAGCCGCCGCTTGCGCTTCTCGATGAAGTCCTCCTCGAAGCGCCCGGTGGCCTGCTTCTCGGGCAGGTGGGGCACCGAGATGACCGTGAACTTGTGCAGGAGGCGGTTGTAGAGCCAGTCAAAGTGCTTGTACCGCCGGTAGACAGGCGAGTTGATGTTGCTGGGAGTCAGCTTGTAGGAGATGTAGCTCTTGATGCCCTTGAACTTGGTTTGCTTGGTCGGGTCCTCCACGGAGCAGATGAAAGGGTGGGGGTTCGGCCTCCACTGGGGACCTTTGGAGCCCATCTCGATGCAGTACACCTCGGCGATCTTGGACATCAGGGGTACGTCACCCAGGATGAAGGCTTCCACCCCTGAGCGGACAAAGCAGGAGAAGCGGTTGAGGTTCCTCCCAACAACGCTGCCCCTCTTGGAGGAGCTCATGCTGTCCTGCCTCTCCAGCGCCGGCTTGGGATGGTAACTGGCGTGCTGGTGGTGGCCGTACGCCACTGGGTACTGCAGGCTGGGCGACGGGTGCCCGTTGGTGCCCGGCGCACTCTGGGGCTCCTCCACCACCGTGCAAGCGTCATCCCAGTCATCCCAGTCATCATCATCGTCATCCTCAAAACTGCCCTGGTAGGAGATGCCAGCATTGGCGGGGGCTGCGTAGAAGGAGGAGTCATGCCTGGGGGAGCTGGCTGGGCTGCTGGAATAGTCCGTGTAGCTGGAGCCTGAGCGGGAGCGAAGGATTTCCACGTAGGAGGCAGGGAAGAGGCCGGTCTCGCCGCGGCTGTTTTGGCCCTGTAACCACCCATCCAAGGAGTTCTCGCTGAAGATGACGAGCTCCTCGTTCTCCTGGATGCTGATCTCCTCTTTGTTTTCGCTCTGGAAGTTGTAAAGCGCTCTGGCTTTCAACGCCATGGCCAGTGCTGGGGCTGGCGGGGGGTACACAGCGTAACACAATCCCAAAATGAACCCCCCCGGAGTGACACCACAAGCGAGCTCAGCACCGGGGCCACCACGAGCTCTGCGAAAAAGGCTCAGCTGGTTTCTCAGGAAATAAAGAAAAGTGGAGAAGAAATCTCTTACGAGGTGACGCCAAGGTCCATACGGCCAAGTGACCCCCTCCCTGCCTGATCCCAGTGCCCCGGCTAAAAAAAACAACGTTCACCAGTTAAAACCAACATTCCCTGTTCCCACGGGATCGAAAACCCAGCTGGAGCGAGAGCCGGGCTCTGCCATGTCCACGCAGGTTTTATCTCGCTGGGACGCCGATCCTGCCGTTTCGCTTTCTGGGAGGAAAAGATCCAGTTGCCAGCGAGGAAATAAATCCAAAGCGACTTTTCTCTGGGGTCCTGTGGATAAAAGACCCCGGTTTCCTCCTGCCCGTCGGTGGGCGCTGGGAAAGCACTGGGAAGCGACCCCAACCCCAGCCCAACCTCCCGTGATCCCAGCCCGGGGATTTTGCAATTCCTTTCCGGGCCGACTTTGCCGGGATTCGGTGCCTCGTTCTGTTGTTGTTTTGGCTTTTTCCGGTTGGAAAGCCGCAAATCTCACGCAGGACGGAGGGGAAGGTCCCCGCAAGCAGGGGCAGCACCGGGGCCGGTACCGGGGGGCAGCCCCCTCCGCGAAGCCCCGGGGG